ACCCATCAAGTGCTTGGGACAAATGCTCGAGGAAGTGGGACTGCCTGCTCGAGTCCACACCAGCTCCTGGGCCTGCTCAGCCGACCTCAAGCATCTGTCACAGATACCCATACTTTCTTCGGAGGTGCTGCCCTAAACATTCTCCTGCCATTTACCCATGTGCACGTAAGTGCATGCACGCTCGGGTAGGAATAAACCTCCTGCTTTCAGTGTGAAAGAAGGTGCTTCATCTTCTCTTTGCTGGTGTTCGTTATGGCTCCTTTAGTAGCTTTGATCTGTCACAGAAGCAGCATTCCTCCCCGTTTCTAAGTTAATTTTTCTCCTCCCTCCCCCCACTTTGCCTAACACTGTGCAGCACTCTGAAGCTGGAACAGGCCTGGAGATGATCATGTCAATGCCTCTCGTTTACAGATGACAGCTCAGAGAAGCCAAGAGACTTTCCTCCAGGACATGGAGATACTTCGTGAACCCTGGTCTCCTCATTACCGTGTCTGGGCTTTTCCCACTACACCATGCTGCCTTCTCAGTCCCTCCACGTGGCTCAAGGCCCACTTCCTGAATATCTTTACTCTAATATTTTCAATTTCTCACTCTCCTTCAGGAACAGGGCTCCTTTTCTGAAATCCTTACCACCTCTCTTGCCCAAAATGACCCCAAAACCCAAAGTTCACTGACCTACCATTCCTTTTAGTATACAATTTATCTTTTTCTACTCACTACCACACTTTCAGGATCCACAGCAAATGTTCCCATTACCTCACTCCCTGATGTCTAGCAATCTGGTTCCTACCTTATCACTACTGAAACTGCATTTTAGATATTGATAAAGGGTTCCGTGGACTCTGAAGTTAGCAGCTTTTTCCTCAGCCAAATCCATTTTGCCTTCTCTATCGCACACCTCTGTGGACCACCCACTACTGGAACATTCTGATCCCCTGGATTTCAGAACAATGAAATCCTCCAGAATGACCTTGGAGTCTCCTTTGTATCTCTCTGTCATTGGACTTATGCTCCACTCTAATTATCTACTTAGGCGGCAATATTCCCAACTAGACTCTGAGCTCCTTAGGAGCAGTTATTTTTGTGGTGCCAGTATACAATCAAGTGAACAATACACTCAAGCCCTCCCCAAAATGTTTGCTGAGTGAATGAACACCTGGGCACTTCCATCTCTGAGATCATTTCTCTTGATCTTTTGTAACTGTTTGCAGGAGTGCCCATGTGATTCTCTTGGGAAAGAGAAGCAACTGAAGGAGATGGAAAAGATAGTAAAAAACTTTAGAATTATTCCTTCATTCCAGCAAAGACTGGTATCAGAATTCATGTGGTAGTGTCTTAAGAAAAGACCTGAAAGTGGTAGTTTTAGAACACAAATGACTGTTTTTCATCCTTCTGCTGCTTTGACTATACACTTCCTTGCAGGAATCCTAGAACTTCCGTCTCGCCAACTAATTCCTGCTTGCTCGTTAGAATTTTCCTGGAGCCCACTGCTTTGTAACTGGCTTTATTTTTGCTTCCTACCAAGCCTTCTTCCTTCTAATTTATTCCTACCAGGCAAGAAAGTTTGGCAAGTGTTAATTTTAATAGTTTCTACTACAAATACAACAGTTTCAAATATGCTTTTGAAACTGTAAAGCAGCTGCCTTCCAATTCTTACAACCTCTTTCAAGAATGCTGTAAAAATTCTCCCAATCTTCTCATTAAAAACCGTTGCTCTAGTTGCATCCTTGGCCCGCTGGGAGATAAGGCTGTCAGAACGATGAGTCAAGAACATGCCAGTAACTCTGTTTAGTTGAACGAGGCAGCTGGTCTTCTTTCCCCACAACAGTCAACTGATTATAAATCAACTGATATTTCCTGAGTCCCTATTATGCATCAGGCACATCCTGGCTGCCTTCACTGGGCACTTCAGTGACCCGCATTGGAAGCACACCATCCTGTCTTCAAGAGTCTAGGAGGCACAAGTGTTTAAAGTCACTTCTGTTTCTTACCTCTTTTTATGTGCATCCCAATGTCTTCCAGGGTGCTTCAAGCACAAGGTCATGGATTTCCACAGAGATCTCTATCTTTTGGACTACTGTAAGCACTCCTCTGCCTTTTTCCCGTGTTATAATCTGGTTCTTTTGAATAAGATGTCTTCTTTTATTGATGTATCCTACTTTTAAGTCCCATCCCACCATATACAAAGTGTGATGAAAATATTGAGGTGAAGGGGCCCCAAATGGCATAGCCAGGGTGACTCATAGAGCAGATTACACAGCTGTGTTAGTTTGAAGTCCTTAAGATGAGAAAATGTGAGTGTAATATCTTTGGGTTTGGTTATCAGTCTTGATGAAAAATCTGCAGGGTTTAGACATCACTAAAAAAGCTGCACACCCTCACAATTTATATACTTCATTTCATGCACTTCTGACCTTGTAGGTTTCTGGCAGTTGTAAAATTTTTACTATCTCTGGGAAGTTAGGAAGGCACACGGCTGTGCTCACTCTTTATGCTCCCTCAGGCACTCTGTGGTCTGATGGATATGGTGACAATGGTGTTTGTTATAGCAGCTTCACTTTATTATTTCAACATGCTTTAAGCAATAAGATATAAAAACCCAAGTCTTTTGCTCCTTCTTGCCAAATGTTTCCTAATATGAATCACTGAGGATGTCATCCATTCTTCAACTTTCCTTGTTACCCTTTCTACTCAGTATTCATTTAATGGGCAAAGACACAAACATTGCTTCCACCTCATTCAGTCTGCAACCTTCTTGACTGATGTCTGGGCAAGCAGACTGCGCATGACCACAGCTCTCCCACCCAAGTCTAGAGGACACGATTGCAGAACGTTAACCTTCAGGGCAAGCGTTCACACTGTTTGTCAAAACTGTCTGGATGGCCATTATTCATTTCTCTCACCTTCTCTCACTTCCAAAGCCTACGTCTTCTATAGGAAGAAGTAAAGAAAACACCATTATTATCTCTAGATCCAAACCTGTTCTAAGTCCTTTTTGTCCGGTCTCAAATCCAGCACCCATTCTCTCAAGCTCCATCAGCACTGTGGGTCCTGCCACTTGGGTACTGCCATCTTCTACTGAGTCATGGCAACAGCTTCCCAACTGGCCCACCCAATTCCACTATTGCCCACCTCCAATCCATTCTGCACAAGGCAGCAGGTGACCCTGAAAGTATAAATCACCCCTCAATGTTGTTCTACTGCACTTCCAACACCTACAAGTGCCCACTGCTCAAGCCTCTTCTCCCACCTTGCTCCTGCTCACTCGCCATGCTCCAGATGCACTGTACTATTTCACCTTCTCAAATGACACCATACTCTTTCCAGAACTGCTGCTACGGTTCCTTCACTGGAAAGCTTTTCTTTCCCTTTTCATAGGGCTAGCAGCTTCTAATTCTTCAGGTTTCAGCCTCAGTTCCCTGACGACCCACGCTGAAGCAGCACCCCAATCCCTTTATTGTCTATCTCAGCCCCTCGTTTATTACCTTATTGCAACATCTTCTTATTTAGAATGTTTATCTGCTTACTTGGCCACCTCTCCCACTAGAATACAATTTCCATAGACAGGGACCGTATGTCTCACAGAGTCTTATATTTCTAGTATGAAATTCAATGCTCTGCACAAGCACACGCATAAGCACATACTTAGTAAGCATTTAATTCGTGATTACCCACTTACTTTCTGGCTAGGTAACCTCTGCAAACAGCCTGGAAGAAGATAATGATATCGGTAATTTTTAAATCTCTTTCTTCCTCTAAGTGTGCCAAAACTCCAGCTCTGAAAAATATCTTGCTTTGTCCAATTCTATACAAGTTTGGGTCCAGTTCTAAAGCCCGGATCTAAGAGAGAAAAAGTCTGTTTACTATTTTTGCTACAGGAAAGATTCTATCAATAGTCCACAAATCAGAAAAATCAAGAAAAGCTTACCATTCGTTCACAAGCCTGTTTGCCATCCATAAAACCTTTAGGAATAGCATTTGGAGTTAGGATCTCATATCTGTAAGAAAAGCAGCCAAAAAACCTTTTGTAAAAATTTGTGAAACTATTTACCTACTATGAGTTTTGCTTCCTCTAGAAAGCAATAATATGATAGGTAATGATGTCAAATTAAGAGGAAGGAAATGACCAAGTGATTTTCTGATTTTCTGCAGATCTAGTTTCTGTTTCTTAAAAGAAGCAGCAAAATAAAAATGAGGTGAATTCTTCCAGGTCAAAGACTAGGTTTAAGAAGTTGTGGCAGAGAAGAATCAAGAACAGTGTTTTTAAAAACCTTTTGTTTTTCTTTATTTCCACAAAATGTTCACATCCTTAAGATGCAAGGAGAATCTGGCTCTTTGAGTGTTAAGTCACTGTCAATTTGCAGACATTTATTAGATAACATAAAAGGCTGGAGGAGCAATGCTCAGAGGCCTCTATTTAGAACATCAGACAGTATCAGGGTGACATCCAAAACAGCATTGCTCTGTGCGAAAACTGAAACTATGGAGGGAACAAGGAAAAATTTTTCCTTGTTATCTCATTGCTTGATTCACATCCAGATAAGCTTTGATACATACAGCATAAAAAAGGTAAAAGTTAGCCATACCTCTGTCTGAATTCCTGGAAAACTATCCGGTTGGGGAACCCCTGGCGACAGATTCTGATCCCTTCCAGGACACCATTACAGCGGAGCTGATCTAGCACGAGATGCGGATCCAGTTTTCCAGCCTAATCAAGCAAATGATAGTTTTACACTTTAATCTTTGTAACCTGACCTAGACCGATTTTAAATACCAGCCTATGTTTTGCTTAACACATACCCGCTTCTCGTGATTTGGAATGATGCAGCGAACAAAGTTAGGATTGGTGTTTCGGAGAGTTGCCATCAACTTGGTGAGAGATTCTTTGTAAAGTTGCCCAACAGTACGAAACATGCCCTTTTTGGTTTTATATGCAGAGCCAAAAGCTGTCTCAGTCATACCAGTGACTTGATCCAGACCCACAATACGGTCCACTGGTGGAAATAAAAAAGAAAAGGAAATAAGCCAAACCTAGGTCTTCAGCAGGGAAAGAGAAGACAAAGTGACAGTGCAGCAGCACAAGCTTCGTGGGGCAAATGACAGAGATGCCGTGGAGGTAAGGCAGTCAGCATATCTAGACACCGCACAAGCCGTGGAGCTAACAGCCACACACTCTATGGCAGGTACTGGAGTGCTTGACAGCTTCATACCACAGACCAGCAGATGCCTCCCGCTGCGCTAGTTTCAGGAATTCACTGCATCTGATAACATTTTGCCTGTTACATATACAATTATTTGGTAAATGAAAGATCATTGGCTGGCATTATTGATACACAAACTGATACTGTGTCAAGCCTCAAAACAGGAAACGGCTTATAAAAACACAGGATTGTACAAAGCAAATCCACTGAATGAATGTGCTCACGGATTAGGGACCAGAGCCATCTCTTATTAGTCATTAGGTTTTCAATAAGAAAAGTCACTCAACTTTCAGGAACAAACGCAGGAAGATTAGATTAAATCAGTTCAGCTTCTCTGCTCAAAGCATGAATAACACTTGTTAAAGGGCAAGAACACAAAATAGGCAGAAGTCTCCCGCAAAGAATCAGTGCCCAAGCTCAGTTTAGCGATGGTGAAACTTCTCAGCCCTTACAATCTTATCAAAGGAGCTGACACTGTCTGTTCTCCACATAGACCTAACACTGCTAACGACAGGATTGCAAACAGGAGTCCAGCACAGTGCACCAGCCACCAGCAAAACATCTGGTGCCTAATATGCTCTCATTTAAAAAAAAAAAAAGTTAAATGAAATGAAACACATTACTGAAATATTTTAAAAACAATCAAAATATCAGTTGAACTACCCCTATTAAGGCCCTCTTCAACTCTAAGAGCTACCTCTATTTCTTTCATTTGTTCCCCAGGACAGAAAGCACGTGGGGACCTGGCACTGTGTGAAGTGCTTTATCAGCAAGATCTCATTCACTTCTCAATTTCCAGGGAGGTTTTTACAGAAGAGGAAACCGTGACCCAGGAAGTAAGGTAACTGTTAAGGTATGCAGGCCTTGAGTGGAAGCTGGGGGAAGGGTGGCTAAAATCGGATGACTTTCCAGGCTCATGCATGAACCTACTCTAGGATTTCTCCTAAGCGAAGCCACCAGACTCAAGGGTTTAGGTCAAAGTTCTCCTCCTTGTGCTCTAGAGTCCATCTGCCATCCATCTGAGAGACCGCCCTTCCTTCCTGTGCCTTCAACCTGTCCCTCTTCACTTACTCCAGCAGAAAACAGCACCAAACCCCGCCCCCGCATGCACCATGAAACAATGAACTTCCCTTCATCCTGCGTCTGCCCACTTCTCCGTCTCCTCTGTCTCCTCGGAGCCAACCTCCTTTCTAGAGTAGTCCACACATTTGCCACTCCTTATCCTTTCTCACTAATTTCCCACCGTGTAGCCAACTGGCTTCTACGCTGCCCTTCTCCCCCTGCCTGATACTACTCAGGCAATGACAGGTAACTGCTCATAGCAGATGCCATCCAGTGCGTATCTCACTTGACCCTGGCACATTTACCTGTTGACCATCACGGCAGCATTCTGAAAGCTCTCCACTGCTGCCTTCTTTTATGAACCCCACCTTCTCCCGGACCTCCATCTACCTTTCTAGCTTCCTCTCCTTGATGACTTCTCTTCTGCTTTTCCTATACATCATGGCCCTCACTAGGGGTCCAAACTCAACTCACCTGAAATCCTCTCTAGAATAAAGCAAGATACAAGTCCAGGCAGACATTACTTGACTTTCTGCTTTTCCCAAGCCATATTCTCATCCTGAGTGATCTCACTGATGACGTTAACTAGCTATACCTGACTACCCAGCACTAGTCACCAAACACCTATATTCTCCTCTCCACCCACAAGTCACAAACGTGCCTCTGCCTTCCACAAATTCTCGCTAAGTGCCTATTATGTCTGCTTTTACTCAACACTACATCCCTTGAACCTAGCATGATGTCTGGCATAACATGCTTGATACATATATGTTAGCAAATAAATGAAGTAAAAACTAAATACATTTACAACTACAAATAGTGAGAAATGCATTGAAAGAACAAAATGCTATGAGAAAGATGGGTGGTTAGAGATCTCTCTGGAGAAATTACATTTAATGCCCAAAGGATAAGAATGAGCCAGTGGAGAGAAGACCATTCCAGACCGAGAATGGCATATGTGAAGGACCAGGGGCAGGAATAAGTGACAGAAGTTAGTGCCAGTGAAGCATTATGAGTAAGGAGATGACAGACCCTCATGATGCTGCTACATGTAGAATGGATTGGACAAGGGATCGGGGAGAACAGACAGGTGACTGATTTAGTATTTCAGGCTCTAAGAGAGAGGATGGCAGCCTGAACTTGGGAGATTATAAAGGAGATGGATAGAGAAAGAAGATTCCAGACATATTTTGCTGGGAGAATCAACTTGCTTTAATGATTAACTTGATACAGAAAATAAGGCAGAGGGACATGTCAAGAATAACTCCTAGGATTTTGGTATGAACAATTGAATGGCTGGTGGTGCCACTGGGAAGATGGGGAGAGAAGTGTGTTTTGTGGGTAAGAAGACAGGATCCAAACTCTTGTAAGTATGGGGTGCCTGTGAGACACTGAGGTAAAGATGATATGTCACGTGAACAGGTGAACGTTCTAGTCTGGTGCTGAGAGGTCTGAACTAGAAAGGTAAATTTTGGAGCTGTCGACTTAACGGGTAGTATTTAAAGTTATGGGACTGGATGAGCCACCTAAAGGGTTCATGAAAAGAGATGAGGGCCGGGGACCAAGCCCCAAGGAGCTGGGGAGAGGAGGAAGAGCTAGGTAAGGAAGACGAGGAGAAGTGGCCAAAAGTACAGAAGGGCAAGATCCTAAACTGGAGCACATTCTCTATCCGACCCTCTATCCTGTTCCTCCTCCTCTATGTCCTCTGCAGACGTGACCACTGGTTACTCAAGCCAGAAACCAGGGCTCGGCCTCGATTCCTCTTTCACACCCAGCTGCTCACTAAAACTGGTCAAGCCAGGCTTCCACATGTCTTCAATCCATCCCCTCTGTCCTCTGTACTGCCCTAGTCTGGGCTCTAACTTGTCACCTGGATTCTGCAATAACCCCCTAAACGGTCCCTTCCTCCAGCCTCACTCTCCCATTCCATCCCCTCCCCCTGCCGCCACACTGTTCTTTCCATTTATTTCTCTGGTCCCAGTGTAATGATTAACAGCTATTTCTAAAAGATAAAACTAAACAAGTTATCTATTCCTATATTTAAAATCCTTCAGTTTCTTCTAAAGCTTGTAACATATGGTCCAAATAACTTAGCCCAGTAGAACAGCACTGTGATGAAGAACTCAATCCAGAGTCAGAAACACTTGCCACTCATGAGCTGTGTGATCTTGGGTCAAGTTACTCAACTTCTCCAAGCTTCAGTTTCTTCCTCTATGAAATGGAGCTACCTTACAGAATTGTGAGGTGCCTGGAAAACACTCAAGTGCTCAATGAAGGTACCTCACTTTCCTACACACACCTAAGGTCCCATTGTACAAACCAGCTGCATTTTCTCAAAGACACAAGGCCTTCAAATCTCCATCCTTTTCTCTCTGCCTGGAATGCACACCCTCTTCCAGCCATCTTGACAAATTCTTAATGGCTTTTAAATCTTTATTCCTTTACCCAACTACCTCTTCTTGGGCTCTGGTTTCCATCCTACCTCCAGTCTAAATAGGCCACTCCCTCCTCAAGGCCTCAAATCACCCAAGCCAGATCCCTGGGACAACACTTCCACTCTGTCCTGTGTGTATTCCCACTGGACTGGGCTTCCCCGGGGACGTTTCTCCAGCATCTAACACGCAGGGCCCTGAGAGGCAAGCCCTGGTGTCTCTGGGATCACCAGCTCAGATGATTTCTTCCGCCTTTCCCCACCTCCCAATGTTGGCCTGAGCATGGTCCCCGGCACACAGCAGCTATTTAATAAACATCTGCTGAATGAACACGAAATTAACCACAAGAACAAGTCACCCCACAACAAAAGAGAAGGAGCACTGGGTTTACTTTGCGGGGATTCAGTCACATTGGTTTCAAGTTTTTCAGCCTGCAAGGGCACACGACAGGACGGCGGTGTCTAACAATAAGTCCCAAAAAAGGACTGCTTTTTAAAACAATACGGAACCTGATTTTCAAATTTACTTTTAATATGCTAAACTTAAAAAAGCCAAAGCTAAATATTTAGGTTTTTAAAAAATTCATGCTTGAGACTTTCAGTTCTTCTTTTTATTCAAAAGTTTAAACTCAGGGTTAGCTTTTACCAATGAACCAAATTATCTTGTGGGTAAGAGAGAAACACTTTGGGAACTTCATTAAATGATTTGGATCACACTAATAATATGCGCTTTCACTCAAAAATCAAGACCTAGAAAAACCTCTCTTTAAAAAAAAGATTTTCTTGTTGAAAACGATTATAGCAGGAATTGGAGAAAGGCAGAAAATGCAGGCAAGATTCTAGCAGCTCCTTAAATGAGCAGCACTCCTCCTTCTAAGACCTAACATCGCTAACACCTCAAAGTGTCTACATCCCCTGGTTCCAGGGTGGGAAATGGCTTCTCTATCCTCCTGCTACAAACTGTTCTCTCAGAGGCGTCAGAAAAGCCTGGGTAGGGTGGCTGGTAGGCACTGTAATTCACTATTTGGTTGCCCAGTAGCCTGAAAAGAATTCAAAGTATTTTACACTAACAATTTATTAATCTATAAGACTTACTTGGACAGTCAGAAATTAGATGAGCTCCACAAACTTGTAATCTCTAAGGGCACACTCACAGCTTAAGAGAAAAAAATGTAACATGTAATCATCTATCTCATAAAACTGCCATCCACAGTTTTATATAAAGAATGGTATCATCTAGTGCCAGAATGCTTAACTGGCCCTTCTTCCAGGGGATGATCTCAGGAAAGGAGAGGTATGTGAGATTTTTATGTTCTTCAGATCTGTGCATGGGCCAAAATACTAGGTGCTACAAATTTAATTTGAAGTATTTAAGCGAGCTCTTTGGAAACTCACTCTAGTTAATATGTCTGGAAACCAAAAATGGGGGAGAGACTTATTTTAATGTTAATTTTAATATCCAGACCGGATCATTAGGAACTATATCACACACTCCCACAGAAGGCCTCCAGGACCCGGCGCTGCGCTGGGCACGCAGTGGATCCGCAATACTCAAATAAACGAAGACCGTGCGACTCTAAGGTGCACTGAAACGTTACTAACGGTTAAAACTGATTCAGAAATATTTAACTGCTGAATTCCTAGAAGAAATCCTAACATCAAATAGTATATCTCCATAATATCCCTGTTACACAGTAATGACAAATTTATAACAGTTACATAACTGGGTAGTAGAACCAACCTGTTCATTGTTCTAGAGTATTCGTAAAGTTTTAGAAAAATCCCAGGAAATCCAGACATTGACAGGTAGCATGTGATTTAAGGAGAAAGCAATCTTTCTTCTCCTAAGCACTAGTGTTAAGCTGAACTCGAATTTGTCTCCTTTCTCTCCCTCACGTGTCCAACCCCTGCAGAAGCCGAAGTCATGTGGGCAAATGGGAAGCCCAGTCACCCCTGCAGTTTCTCCTGCACTCCTGCCCCTGCTGTCCCCTCGGCAGGGCCCGTGTGTTTAATCTATGCTGACATGGGCAGCACAGAATGACTGCCTATCAGCTTGGCTTTGGGGCATTATGAATAAAAGTGGACTTGAATTAAGTAACAGTCAAGGAAGTAAACACTTATTGGTTTTCTGTTTTTCATAATTACAGCAGCAGCAGCAACAAGGGGGCAACAGCAACTAGAGCAGCTGTGGAGGTGGCCACGGGAAGACCAGCGCCAGACATCATGGATTTGGGCGCTGCCCACCTGCAGGCTCACGGTGCCTTGTCTGATACTCTCTATGACCCTGAGAACTAAGTGTCTTGTCTCCACGCGACCTCAGGAACTCCAGCTGCAGGACCCAAAATCTGCTCCTCCCAGAGCTCCCAACTCTTGTTAAGACTCAAGATAAAAATACACGAAGGAGTGGAATATACTGCAGCAACAACAAAAACCTTCATCCACTGAAAATGATGACAGTTTAACAAAGCACATACACTGTGTCAGACCTAAACCATAGATTCTAAAGTGGCACTAAAAACAGAGATCACTACTGCTGGACATAACCTATAAGGAGACTGAAGGGGTGCCACGTGTTAGACTGCCAAGCAGCAGTCACGCTAGTTGATTCTAAGAGCCGCCTCCAGTGAAACTTACCGAAACCAAAAAAGACTCATTCAGAGTTTCCAAAATCAGAGCATCATCGTTTCTACATTTGAAGCATGACTAAGGTAAAAAGTTTTCCCCTAAATTATGACAAGAAGGTGGATAAGAATTCAGTGGCTTTTGGGAGACGAGGGGTGACCCCAAAGAGCTTGTGACAAATGGGGAAGCCCTCCTACAGCGTAACCAACCTCTCCTTAGTGACTCTCAGGCTCAGGTTAATGGCTGCTATGTTTCAAGTGCTACTTCTATGAAAGACTGAACAGGGGGTGGGGGGCTTTATCAACAATTACAACTTGCTCCACGTACTTCTCACATTTTCTCTGGCGGTCCCTTCCAGGTCTGTCAGCTGCCATCCAGCAGTTGTGCAAGTTGAAAGAAGCTAAATGGTGCTGCTCTGGGAGGGAGACTGCAGGTTTAAACTAGTGTTAGGGCAGATTACACACAACTGTCCCTCCACACAGTCTGGACCAGGACTAAAGCCACAGACAGCCCCTATTATCACAGACTCTTTTATAAAAGTCTAAAGACTCTGCCTCTAACGTTGAGGTTACAGTCCCTCTTTGCTGGCTCACTGTGCTTGCATCTTCCGTTACTAGTTTATCTCAGAGGTCTAAACTTTCAAAATACATTTTTGGAAGAAAACAGTCCTTTGGTTTATAGCAGAAACTTGTATGACCTCCTTATTCTGCCTCTAGGAAATCTATTCTTTTTTCTTCTGCACTTCTCCTTTGATGCTTTTGGAAACCTCTCTTTACCGTTACCTCATCTCTCATGTTTATCCTCAAAAGCCTGCATGCTCTTCATAATGCTATTTTACTGGTATTATAAACATACCTAGAAGCAAAACGTCCATTAACTTTGTCTTATCTCATTTAGAGATGCACTACATGTTAGCATGTTGAACGCAATCTCAATTTGGATCCCTAGAAACTGCTTCATCTACTGTCTTCTGAGAAATCACTGAAAATACTAAAGCCCCCACTTTCATTTAAAAGCTGTTACTCCTCCCCGGGGTTTGAATCCAGAAACACACGTTGAAGAGACAAACATTGTGCTGTAGTAATACTACACACACTTCAAAGACCGTATTTACCCACAGTGGATGGAAGGTCCTCTGAGGAAAAGGAGAGATTGAGACCCCTGACACTTGGTTTAGCTGAGTAACTCAACCAAAGGACATCTCACTAAGAGAGACAGGAACGGGCACATTTTCAGTGCCAACATGAGAATACGGCAAGGTGAATGAGCTTACTCCCTGTTGGAATGATGTCATCTAGGAGTGGCTCTGTACTTGATTCTGCTGGTACAGAAAAACACGTGGTCCATACACCCCCAAGATCATGGTGCCACAGGAAAGAGCACCCACGCTGTAGGAGAGGGAAAGGCCACAGCTGGAGTGTTAGGCAAAGCTGCTGCACCTGAACACTGGGTGAGGAATGTCCACCCACCATCAATGCCCTCACTCAATGACTTATTTACAGTGTGCCTACGTTGTGCCAGGGGCTGAGGAAATTGACAGCAGACAAAAACAGGCACTGTCGCTACTCTCAAAGAGCTCAGTCTGGAACTCTCTTAAAAGATTAGAAATCCAAGAGTTAAAGGGAATTAATTAAAGAGGGCACTCTACTTTGGGAGAAAGTCCAAAAGATCAATCACTAATCTTTTAGAGAAGCACAAGTCCCAGGCAGACCATAAGCTCAAAGCCACCTCCTAGCTCTTTCTTTTTCTCTCCACTTTCTCAACTTTGTCAGTGCTCCCCAAGGCCAAAGGCGACTGAGTCCGAAGATTTCTTCTTTTGGAGTTCTTCTGTGGAATATTCATTCCAGCTCACGGAATAATCTTTGGCATAATCCATGCCCTCCCTCTTCCCACCCCAATGCTTGCAGTCTGCTTCTTCACAGTATGTGAGATAGAAATGATGTGAGGGATCTTGGATTAAAATGGGAATGTTCCTTTAACATATTTTCAAAAAACTTTTGAGATGGATTTGGGTCTCAGCATTATTGTGTTCCAAAAATTATAAAGGAAATTTTATGAGTTCGACTTTATCTTTGAATTTCACTAAATAATTGGAAGGCTGGGTGATCTTCATTATATTGGGCTTTTGGGGGCCTCTAGGCCATGGTTAGGCTGTATTTTAAACAGGGCTAAGGATTCAGACCACAAGGCCCAAATGTTTGGAGCTGAATCTCAGGTTCAATGTACAAATTTCAACACTCCACTCTATCTTAGTCTCAATTGCATATATCAACACTTGTAGATAATTTCAGTCTTCAGTTCAAAAGAAAAAGCCATGTAGGCAGATATGCACATAAATTACAAACAAAAGATATAATGATGAGACCAACACATGTAAGATAAATATGTAGCTATTTGTTCACAAAATGTTAATGACAAAAAAAAAAATTCCTCCTTGGAATTCCTTAGAGTTGAAAATTTAAAGGTAGTTGAAAGACAAAGCAGACGTTATTTAGCAGATCAATTCCCAACAATTCCCTGAGAGGACTGTGTATCAAAATGGCACTACTGGAAAAGGTAGTGACATACCTTTTAATATGCAGTGCTGTAGGTGCTATGCATAAAATAAGAAGCAATGTGTAGGCAGTAGCAGTTGAATTGTTGATGCACTCAAACAGTTGCCTTGAAGAATAATAAAACTGAGCATGAAATGAAAGGTTCATGCAGGTCTATGAGCAAAACAAAAACAGAAACCCAGAAACCAGCCCCACTCCCCAGTCTACCCTGCCCTCCCGACCCCCCTGCCAGCCCCCCGTAAGTTCTTCCTGTGGGCTTAAAACCCTTCTGTTTTTGGAAGACCTACAGGCTTTATACATTCACCTGGTGGCTCATGAAGACCAGAAACACTGTCATAGAAAGAAGCTCTCTGAATATTCTGAATCTCTAAAGCAGAGAAACAGCAAAAACAGGAGGATAGAAGAGCAAATACACAAACACTTCAGTTAGTGTGAGAGACATTTGACATCACAAGTAAACTTTGAAATTGGGCTACAAAAAGTAGCTAGTCCTGGGAAGATCCCATGCAAACTTTACTGTTTAGAGAATTTGCACATTTGGACAAAATTCTTTATAAAATAAATTTAACCTGAATCAAAAGAACACAGATGTGAGCAGTGTATCATATCAAAATTAAATGATTATCCCCATGGAAATGCAGGATGAGATTTAAGAGTAATACTGTACTATTTGAGTTGTCTTTCATAAAATTATCTTGCAATTAGCAAATTAGGACAAGACTGCAGTAAGTTAGAGCATTCTGGTAAATGTAAATATTAGTGGCTTTTACTGTAAAAAATTCACACTGCTGTGTAATTTTACTTCCAATAGACTTTGGAAATATAATTTGCCTCAAATACAAATTACTAACAGGTAAGTACCATTAAGGAAAACAAAATTCAAGTTCTGTTGTAGCAAAATGTTAAAATAACTTCAAATCATAAGTAAGACGATACTTATTGATCATACCATTACTCATGAAAACATCCTAGGAAGCACATTTATACGAAAATGCAATCTTTAGTTTTTTCCATATATTAGCCCCAAGAAGTGGCAAGAAATCCTGTGCAGCTGGTAGAGAGATCTCAAAACATCTTTTAGCAAAAGGTAGGGCACTATGAATCTCTAGGGCAGGGCTGCCACCAATAAGTCTTATTTCTTCTGGTTTGGCCTTGAGAAAACTCCATAAAACCCTAACGCAAAGTCTATTTTAACACAAAATGTTTTATACTCCAGGTATTGCACCTTCACAGGCAAACTATATTCATACATCATATATTCATACATTACAGTCAACTTGTCATTTTCTGCCTTTGCATTTATGTGGCTATAAAAAGAGAAAAATTATTGCGTTTTTCTAGGGCTATTTTCTTTTCCTAGGGGAAAAGCTCCCCTTATGCCAAGAGATCTCTACATGCAGAGTGGGCAGTGATGAATTCTCCACTTTAGAAACCTCTTCAAACTTCTGTGCCTGCCACTGACTGTATGTACGAAACACAGTTCTCAAAATTGGGCAAACGTGGTCCTGCTGCCCCACCTGCCCCTCCCCTGCCAGTGAGTGACCGCTGAGAGCCTGTCTCTCAGACTAAACGGAGTAACTGTCCACCTAAGCTGACGGCTGACAGGACCTCCTGCTAAGAGTAACATCATCAGGAGGGCACACATGTGGGGTTATTCCAGAGCAGATGCTGGCAGAGCTCAACCAAACTTGGGGTAGATAAGATTGCTCTTAGCCTGTTGTGACAGAAAGTGGCCAAACATGTTCCCAAGCTGCCTTCTCTACAGAGGCCAGGGCCACAACAGGGCTGTGCAAGCCGTACAGACCGGGAGGCCCGAGCTTGGGCTCAGCACAGACGCACAGGGCTCGGGCCGGGACTGAAGGAGCTCTGCAGGGCGGCAAGCGTTTCCTCTCCAAGTTTCTATAATCAAAGAAATAACTTCTCTGTATTTATTCAATGGAAATGAATAAATGGTCCAGGCGTGGTCCTACCTATAAGATACATGATCTATGAAATGGAATTGCACTGAGCGTTGCAGCCCCCACCTCCACCTTTGCCCACCAAATCTTATGTTCCTAAAACTTCTGACCCACTGCTGCCGAAGGCTTTCTGATGCTGGGGATGGTGAGATGTGGAGTTAAAGGGGAAAGGAAGGAGGAAGCTGAGGAAGCTGGGAGCCAAGATGGAGGCTCGCTTGGTCCTATTATTGCATCTGTGTATATCCTGAGTTTTCAACAAGACAAGCTCTTGGAGGCAGTGGACGTGTCTTTCATTGCTCCCAAATCTACCTCACTGATTATAACCAGGGTAAACATGTGGTTAGACATGTGGTATTATATGAATGAGGCAGGTGCTCAATAGGTGTTTCCCACAATATCATTTTTTGATCAAGATATTAAAAAATAAGAGTCAAAAGTGATTCACAACGTCAGAACCAGTATGTAAGCCGAGAACCTAATTTCTTTTATTATACTGTCATTAGTCCCCAAATATCTGTTTCTCTTCTTATTCAAAATCAAGAGAGAAAATCAGTTTTTAAGGCTTTAATAGTAAAAATGCTGGTTTCCTCTGTGCCTTTTTTCCTAGGCATTCCTTCCATGCCCCCTGCTTTCATCCTCAGTCACCTGAATTCAGGAAGCACCTGAATCCTGCTTCTAAGTTTTTCTACCCCAAACCAACCATCCAACAAACCACTGCCTGCTTTAACTCACACTGCTTTAGTTCACACTGTGTTACTTCCTTGGCTCACAAACCTATTGATGCTATTTATTCAATAAAGTCAAAGCCACCTGAGACTGGCCATCGGGGTTCTCTGTGGTCTGGTCTCCACCTGTCACCCAGCCTCGTTTCCTGCTGGCTCCCTTTCTGCCCCAGCCCTACTATAAAGCCCAATGGGACACTGATCCTGAGCTGTGACTTTCTACTCCCACACCATGATCATTCAACGTGCTCGACTCTCACCCCTTCTTCTCCCATGCCAACTTCACTTCTAAAAATACTACCCATCCCTAGATGAGTCAGTTCATGTAAAACTACTCAGCCTTAAATGTTTAAGGAATGATCACTTCGTGAAGACTCATGAATTAGTGCTGAAAAACTGCCTGGCACTTAGTAAGTGCTCAGTGAATGTTAACTTTATTTCTTTATTCAACAAATTATTATCCTTCAAGGACAAGGAAAATTGCCTCCTCCTCATGACATTTTACCTTAGCACCTCAGGAAAAAAGCAGTCCCTCCCTCCGTTGTACATCACTAAAAACTCATTTTGTACCATTCTCATGGCATTCATCGCAGACATCTTTGGCACTCAACAGTTTGTCTACATATCTCACTCCCTTGCCTTTGCTCTAAGATCTCAGAAGAGGCCAGGAGACGGGAGTGAGCATGGTGTCACTCTGTAACCTACATCGTTCCCGATATAGTCACAACTGAATTGATTCCTAATAGAATGCAAGTATTTAAGATTGGCAGCATTACTCCTTTCTCTTCTTTCTGTGACATTTCCCATGCACATTTCCAACTCAGCAGCGCTGGTCTTTCTAGCACTGTGGACCCTGTGACAACCGGAGCTCAGTCGTTTTTCGGGCTCTCATTCCCATTTTTCATATCCCATTCTAACATTTCCCAGCAACAGGCTCAAGAGGCCCTCATCTATTAAGGTACTGCAAATTCCACATCAGGGTCCTACTTCTCTTCTCTTTCCTCATGCAGCAACCCTCGACTGCCCGGGTCATTGCAACTCAGCAGCCAGCGGAAGAATTTCATCTAAAGGTACAAAGATTAAAAGCTTCCGTTAAACTCACTGGGAACCTAAGCTGTTCCCCAAATCCCTCCTTTTATTCAGTCTCAGGCACACGATCTCTTCCCAGGACTCATGCATGGCTCCCTCACACTTGCTTGAGTTGATGTACACAATCTTGACTAGATTATCTTTGATACTGTCATCTTTCCCCTACAAACATTTTCTGTGTTCATTCTTCTCTATCTCCTTTTGCTCCAACTGCCTTAACCCCTTCTTAACTGGTTTCTGTGTTTCTTTCTCTTTACCTCTGAGAAGACAGTTAGATGACAAGGTCTTGAGATGCTTGAGAAAAAGCATAAGTGAGGCAGGTTACTGAGTAGTCGTGGCCTCAGGGTCAAGGCCTGGGCAGGGGCAGATCCAGGGCTAAGGTCTTGCAGGGCCTGAGGTCAAGCAAAGAGGTGGGACAGAACCAGGACGAAATGCAGTAGCGAGAGCCAAGCTATAGAAGATGCTGGTTCCCACTATGCATATATCGACATAGATGTTTTGTTTTTCTGGTACTAGTAAAACCTCTAGTCTGATAAAATCGCCAAATCTTCACCTGATATTCATGTAACAAAAGAACCACGGACTGATGGAAATAAAGACAACTGATCTACACGCAAGGTGTCTGAATTATTCCCCAGCCACTTTGTGTGTTGAGGGGGCCGGCAGTGGTGGAGGACGCAGCTCAGCTGACCTGTGTACACAACACAGAAAATGCACAGGGCTTCTCGGGTTTCATGTCCCAATACCCTTGGATTTTAACTAAATTGGGACCAGAGTGGCTTGAAACACATGTGTAGTTCTTTATGGCTCTGGGCCTAGAATGTTCCCACACTCTCCTAGCATCTGACCAATAAGGCAGACGTCTTGTTCTCCAAGTATTCTTAAAATGGGTAAATTCGAAATGACGGCAGCCCTGCTCTAGGGACAGAACGAGTTTTAAAGCAAAATATATACACATAAATATATGTAAAAGAACCATACATAAGCCTTAATTGTAAAAGATTCCGGCCAAGCTCATTACAAATGTCAGCACACTCTTACCATCCTTCCAAAGCTCCGCAACAAATCTGTCCGACGACTGGTGCAGGAGGGTGGCCACGTTGTCGTTCAGAGGATCCATGTTCTTCATCAGCCACTCATCTGCTTTGTAGTCCACCTGGCCCGTACCAGAGCCAAACACGGTGAGATGGAAAAACAAAAACAAGGACAAAAGGAAGAAACGCTGTAAGCCTTAACCAAAATCTTCACAGAGCAATCCAAATAATGGGTTGTCTCAAAGGCAGAGCATTTGTACTGCACACTATAATTAAGGGTTTACAAATGTTTATCAGCACATTTGTTACAACCTTCAACAGATCCAGCAATATTTCAAACAGTGCTTTTAATTGGGTTGTTCAACTCTTACCTTCCCTGCATAATGGATAATGCAGAAGTC